TTCCCACCATTTGATTTGTGGCTTCCTCTCTCAAAGCATCAGACAACGTTGTAATGCCCCAATCCCTTGGGATTTTCCAAGCTTTCAAGGCTTGCTAAATCTCACCATTCACAACTCAGGCAGCTCCTGAGGCCCAGGTTTAGGCTTTCCAGAGTGTCCACATCAAAATACTCAGTGGCATGGAGCTTGCACCTTCATCCCTGATGGATTTCCCAGGGATAACCAGCCGAGCTGCAGCAGTACTTAGATGGACTCCTACCAGGCTCACAAAGCTTCCCAAAATCATACATCCTTCATCCACTCATGGACTCTGTGTTCCGGTTTCTTGATTCTGTGGTCTTTAAATCAGCATCAAATTCCTATGTTCTGTATTCCCAAGGGATATTCTCTTCTGAAGGGACCAAAAGGCGCTGTGCTCAGTGGCAGGGTGACCCCAGCAGCAGTCTGTGAGTTTCTTGCTTTGAAAGAGCTGCAAACTATTGGCAAGGTTTGGGAAGAGGAAAAATTTGGTCAGAAAAATTGAGCAGGGATAGGGACTTCCTGGAGAAACCTTTTTTCCAGGTACTCAGAATGGTCACAACATTGGGAAGAGAGCAATGGCTGGAATCCCATCTGTTTCACTGAAAAAGACGGGGGGAAATGGTGGACGATGATCCCAAATTGGTAGGTATGTGTTAAAGGGCAGGAAGGGCAAACCAATGGCAAGACATAGAAATAATGTTTTAGATCGATCCAGGTTCTCTGTGTCCAAGATGACCCCAAGTCAACGCCAGAAATGCAATGGGCCACTTAAGAAAAGATGAATCAAATTAAGCTGGAAAAGGGTTCATTTATATTAGATCTAAGGCAGAAGCTCTTCCCTGTGAGGGTGCTGAGGCGCTGGCACAGGGTGCCCAGAGAAGCTGTGGCTGCCCCATCCCTGGCAGTGCTCAAGGCCAGGTTGGACACAGGGGCTTGGAGCAAGCTGCTCCAGTGGAAGGGGTCCCTGCCATGGCAGGGGTTGGAGCTGGAGGAGCCTTAAGGTCCCTCCCAACCCAAACCATTCCATGATTCTATAAGTTGAACCCATAACATGAGCTGTTTCCTCATTCCAAGAATGTATTACCATTACCTTATTTCTTACCTGGTGCTGTTGCCCCAGAGGGGACACAGGGCTGCAGGGGGGGGTCTCCCCCAAGCAGAGGAGAGCAGGACACTGACAGATTTATCTTCTCCCATAGTCAGCTGCATACACGAGCATCAGGAAGCATCCCTCCGCTCCCTCAGCATGAGTGAGAGCACGGACACAGGCCACTGAGCAGCAAGTGACCATGCCCTGGCTCTTTCCTGGCCCCACTGCCCCTTCCCTGCAGTCCAGATGATTGACTTTCCCCATGCTGCCCCTCCGGGGCCATTGCAGCAGCTAATGACCCATGGCAGCAGCTCCTTGTGTCCTGGGGAATGGTGTTTCTTTCCAATAGGTGGATCAAAGAGGACTCTTGAGTCGGGAATCCCAATGGGAGGATGAGAGGTCGGCTTGGATGAAGACATGCAGTAATTTGTGAAGGGGATGAACAGACGAAACAAGCTATTAGGGAAAGTATTCGTGGCTGGTGGGATTAAAGAGCAACAGAAGGAAATGTTTAGAAAGAGGCAGGAACAAAGGAAATTCAAACCTGTGTGGGTCTATTAATAGACATAGGGAATTTATGAACAAATCAGGTGTTTGATAACTTCCTTAGGTCTGCCTCTGCAGAGAAACCGCAGCATTTCCCTTTCAAGACTGCTGGTAGCCAAGATATTTAAACAGCATAGACTCAAAATGAACTGGTTTTGTACACCTCAACCTGGATACCCCAAACAGCAGCATCCTTAAACACTCAGTGGAGGTATATAGCAGGCTTTTGAGACAGCAGACAACTGCTGAGAAAGGAAGGATGCTGGCATTGAGCTATTGTGGCAGTCTGAAATCAGATCATGCTGTCCAGTTAGAGATTAGAGTAAGAGGACAATGATTTATATGTACTCCAGCTTGGTGGGATGCTGAGCAGCAAAGGCAACCGTGCACAAGAAAGCAGCAGCTCTGGGAAGAAGTTAGGGGGGAGCAAAGCAAACCTGGACTGCAGGAGGGAGTCTTTAATAGATTTTTAGCTTAAATTTGGGTTCTAAACTAGGGGGTTTAGGTTAAATTTGGGTACCTCTACCCAAGGTATGGTGAGCAGGGTGGATGTGAGCCCTGAACACAGCACAGTGACCCCTCGGTGCTTTGCACCCAGGCATGGTGCTCTCAGTGGATGTGGAAAAGATAGAAGCAGTTGAATAAAGCCATCAGAAACAGGGGAAAGAGACGTGTTCTAATGAGGAAATGAGTTCTTTTGCCTCTCAAGGACACTGAGAGGGGACAGGGGCTGCAGGGGTTTGTAGGATGCAGCCTTCTTATGGAGACTTGTGCATTTGGCAGGGGCATGAACTGCCTGCAGACACCTGGGACATGAAGCCAGGCAACTTCCCACCACTTTTGCATCCACACAAAGGTGATTTTCCAGCCCACAAAGTCTTCAGAACAGAAGTGAACCCTCTGGGGAAGACCTACCCTGGGTAAATTCAGCAGCTGGCCTCAGTATGTGACTGCTTTGGGAAGGGAACGTATGGGAGGTCCTGCCAGGTGATGTGCTGCTTGTCAGGGCTTTAAACTCTGTCAATAACCTTTCCTCCTTGCCTTCAGTAGGTGGGAGGCCATTCATCCATTTCTGTGCCTTGGGAATCCTGCAGCCTTCATCCCAACACAGAAGATGGTGTTAACTTCCCCAAGGGAATGGGGTGAGGTGGTTTCAGACCCTGCTCAAAGGTTGGCCCATGGGCACTGATGGGAAAGGTGCCTCCTCTACCAGAGCCCTTGCTCGCATCAACCTCAGCATCAGCAATGGCTCCTGGCCAGGCCCAGGAGGTGCCACAGATCTGGCAGAGGAGAGGAAACGGATGAGTGATGGCTTCACCTTCCCTCCATCACATGTAACAACGCATTTGGCAGAGCTTTCTCAGGCACAACCTTCCCAACCTCAACCACAGGATGCACCAGGGATGGTCCTGCTGCTCTTTTGCTGCGGTTTTGACCAAAACCACCCAAGTTTCCATGTAACCCCCCCGAAATCATTCAGGGAGAGACTCAGACATTGGCCGTTCACTGCATTCACTTTGGAATGTTCAGGTCCTTTCTCCCTTCAGAAGACTTGTCATATATGTCAGGGAGTCACTCCAAAGTGATGCCCCCATTGCCCCAGTGGAAGCTCTGTGTCATAAGGAGTCACTGTTGCCCAACAGGAGTCCTTTATATCCACTGACCACTCACCTGAGCAACTCAGAAGGTGAGAACTGGAGCTCCAGGACCCGATGGTTTTGCCTTTGTTTCTCCAGGCAATCCAGCAAGCAGAGAGAGGACATGATCTCATGCTCTGTTTCCAGCTGTGCCATGACCTGGTTGCTATTTAAGATGAATGGCTTTCTTTAGTCATGATACCTTACAATGGAAGCAGGACCTTCGGCACAGCAAACCAGGCAGGCAGAATGTATGTGGGAAGCAAATGGGAAATAGCAGCTGGAAACCTGGCTCTGGGAATGCAGAGCCCAGACTGGTAAGGATGGGAGGTGGTTACAGTAGATGGAGGGAGCAGGTCTTGGGGTGAACAGACAGTGGGCTCTGCTATGGGCAGAGCTGGTGCATGGGGCTCAATGGGATGGCATGGGGTAGTGGGGGCAAAGGTGGCCCTTGCTACTGCCACATAGTCATAGAACCAAAGAACCATTTAGGTTGGAAAAGAGACCACCAAGTCCAACCCTTAACCCAGCACTGCCAAGGCCACCCCTAAACCACATCCCCAGTGCCACATCTCCATGTCTTTTAAATCCCTCCAGGGATGGGGACTCACCACGGCCCTGGGCAGCCCTTTCCAGTGCTTCACAACCCTTCTGGTGAATAGGGTGCTCCTATTATCCAATCTAAACATCCCCCAAAACAGGTTGAGGCCATTTGCCCAGGTTGGATGGGGCTTGGAGCAAGCTGCTGTAGTGGAAGGTGCCCCTGCCCATGGCAGGGGGGGGAATCTGATGAGCATTAAGGTCCCTTCAACCCAAACCAGTCTGGGATTCCGTGATTGCTTCTCATCCTATCACTGGTTGCTTGTGAGGTCCCTCACTAAGGGATGCAAGGGGGAGGTTTTGGGTGCCATGTGTAGACTCCGGATGCTCTGCAGGACAAAGGGGTCCATTTCGGGTCAGGAGACGTCACCAAGGTCCACGGTGACCTGCTCACGGTGCTGGCTTGCACAGGGGTCTCTCTGTATATGAGGTGCGGATGCTGCCATGAAGGTAATGAATTGCAACAGTGGTATGAGGTATCCTTCAGCTGGGCATCAAAGGGGTCTTACCCGGGGGGATGCTGGGGGCACTGAGGTTCAGCTGTGGCATCTCTAGCTGGAAAGAGGGTATCTGGGGGTTGTCTGTCCCCAGGGCATCTCCAGTGGGGCCCATCCATGCATGGGACTGTCCCCAGTGGGGATGCAGACACAGGTGGATGCACTCTGTGGTACTCAGAGGGTCTCTGGTGGGTGCTGGGGGTCACAGTGGGGGTCTGCCCTGTGCCCAGAATGTCACAAGTGGGCACGGGGGGATCCATCCTCAGGATGGGGATCATGGGGGGGGAGGTCTGCCCCTACCCGGTGTGGCTCGGCTGGGCACAGGCAGGTCCTCTCCAGCAGTATGGAACACGGTGAGGGGCTGCCTCTGCCCGGAGCGTGGGGCGAGCACCGGGGCCCATCCCTGCCTGAGGACTGGACCCGAATGGGGGGGGCGCGAGGACCGAGCCGAGCCGAGCCGAGCCGAGCCGGGCCGGGCCGGGCCGAGCCGAGCCGAGCCGGGCCGGGCCGGGCCGAGCCGAGCCGAGCCGAGCCGAGCCGAGCCGAGCCGAGTAGAGCCGAACGGACCCAACCTCAGTTCGGCCCGGCTCGGCTGCCCCCGAGCGAGGCGCGGGGCCGTCCCGAGCGGCAGGGGGCGGCGCGGTGCCGCTCCCGCCTTCCCTGCGCGTCGGAAACATGGCGGCGGCGAGGGACTGAGCAGCGGCCGCGCAGGTGAGGGGGAGCGGCGGGCGCGGTGCGGCCCGGTCCGGCCCGGCGAGGCGCTGCTGGAGGCCGGGCGCGGGTCGGACACTCGTGCTCCGCGCTGGTCAACGCGACAGGCCCCGGCCCGGTATGGATCCCTCCTGTCAGCGCGGCCCGGCCGCCGCCTCACCCGCGGGGCCCGGCTGCGGCCTGTCACCGCCGGCACCTGTTGGTGCCCCTCAGGGACCCCCCTCCGGAGGCTCCCCGGCCTCGCACGGCCGCCCGCGGCCGCCTCTTTCCGGCCGGGCTGCAGCGCCCAGTGAGGCACCTCCGAGGGGCTTTGTTGTTCTTCCAGGTGTCCCCGGGCAGGGCTCTGCCAGCGAGGGGGGGACGCCTGGGGCCGAGCTCCTCTGGCGGCAGCCCCGGGCCGCGGTTACCGCGTTCCCCCGGGGGCCTGCGGGTGGTTTCTGCGGACCGCAGCCTGCCCTGCTCCCCCCTGCGCTGGGCGGTATCTGCTTGTGTGGAAAGGGAAGCGAGACTGAGGTGCTGGAGGATTCCCCGGAGGTGCCCCCTCTCCCCGCCTGCGGGTAGTGCCCGGGGGAGGTTCATGCCCGAGGAAGGCTTTTGGCCCTCCAGGACCTCAGTGAAAGCCTCCTGTAACCCCGGTGCATTGGGGAACCCAGCGATGCTCTGAGCCGGACCCGCCGTGAGGACCCCGACACTGGAAGGCGTCCAGGGTGATCCCAGGGACAGGATGGAGAAATCCCATAACCGCCATCCGCAGGGAACCGTCTGTGCTTCCTCGTCAGCCCCCCCGGGTTGAACGCTCGAGTAGAGCTGGGAGTAAGGCAAGATCTGAGTGTTTGTGCACAGTGCGGTGTTTAACAACACGGCGTCAGGCTGGCTCCTGCCGCACGTTTGGCTCTTTGAAGCTCCTGTGTGGTACCGTGGCAGCAGTTTGGAGCCTTGACAACTAAAGGTAGAGAATAAGAACAGGCGGCCTAAGTTTGGGATGCGCTGAGCAGCTTGGCTCGCTCTGGCCTCAGGTGCTTTCTAAGCTCAGCAGCTGGATCCTAACCTAATCGTTTCCATGGGTAAAGGCAGGATGTGGAGCCCCAGCTCCGGGGTACCCAGCTTTGATTTTTGGCTCTGTTTCTGTTTACTGTTGTTGTTGATAGCAAGCACTGTGCACTGAGTGGCTGCGAACAGCCATGTGGTAGCTCCTCCTCGGCAGCCAGTAATAGTGGGGAAAACACTCTCCCATCTCTGTTCAACTGCCTGAGCGATAGTTGTACAGAGCTGCTGTGGCTGCCTCTCCTCTTCCTCCCCTTCCTTCTCCCTTCCTTCCTCTTTCTCTCAGCCTTCCTCTTCTTTTACCCTCACACTTCAGCTGCCCGGGCCTCGGTGTCCCATGCACTTGCTGGAAATCTTTGGACTATGGGATGCTGGTTTCATACCTCCCTTGTGCTTCATAGCGAGCTTGGTGTTAAACCTGCGCTCATGACAAGCTGCTGGGGGCTGCAGGTTGGGGAGTTCAAGATGTGCCCAGCAGATGGTATGGAAATGCAGGAACAGGGGAATCCTTTACAATAATGCAAGGAAATACAGCTGTTTCTGTGCTATTTAAAGTATTTGTTGTATGAAAGGTTAAAGTGTGCTTTGAGAGAGAGATACCCTGACCCTCATCTTCCTCTTTCGGTGTGTATGTCTTAGGAAATGCTAAACCTGCATCTTTATGATCTGCTTTTTAGTCCAGTAGTTGGTATTAAATCAGGTGGTTAATGAAAAGAAAGCAAACGTAGGGTTTGGAAAAGAAGCTGTGCCTCCTGGCTTTCCTGTGTCTCAGATTTTAATGGTGTTTGAGTCACTTCTCTGGAAACTTGGTGACTTTTGCAGCACAGTTTGGTGTCTTTAAATGAAAGATGCTGTTGGGATATAAAGTGGTGATGTTCTTCATCAAGCAGCTGTGTTTCAGACTGGATGTATTATGGGGGCTGTGGCCTCACTGTGTATCTAATTTAAAGGCATCTCTGGCACTTTGTTTCATAGCCTCGGACACAGTCTCTCTAGCAAGGAACCCCAGAGCTGTTTTTGTCCTTTCCCAGCCCAGGATAAGGTCAGGTCCACATCTGAACCCTTCCTGAGTAAAGCTGCTTCTTTTAAGGCCCTTCCTGCTGGCATTTTCACATCCTGTATGTGAAGTTGCACACATGATGCACGCTGACACTTGGGCCTCCTTGCCAAGAGAGAGAGTTTATGGGGTTTAATTGAAACCTTTGTCTTGAGCTTCAAGTCTGTTCCTTCCTCTCTGATCTCCAGGGCACATGGAGGACACTCTGCTTCTGACATCTCTGTAGCTCATTTGAAGTCTTTTTCTTCCTCTTCCTAAGCAGAACAAGCTCTGTTTCTCTGCTCTTTTCACATGGGTTTGATCTCTGCCCCTCTCTGGGCTTTCCTTAAGGCACTGTGGTCAGGCTGAGCTTGGCAGGACCATGTTAATGGGATAATTGTATAAGTGGGCCCAAGGGACCCGGTTTTGGGTACATCTAAGCACTGTTATGTGAAAAAGAATGATCAGATGTTTGCATGTTAAACTGCGCATTTGTGGCAAAGGACTTGGCGTGCTCAGTGAGCTCCGATGTGTACAACCTGGAGTAGCGTGCTAGCAGCGTGGGCTCAGAGCTGGTGTAAGTTAAAGCTTGGCGTGTTTGAGTCTCTTAAAGCCATAATGTTTGTATCTCACCCCCTGCCTTTGTTCCGTTTCTTTTCCTTGGCTGTAACTGAATGCAGTTTGTGATGAGACAAACAGAGCTCTAGTAGCTTCCTCGACCATTTGTGTTTGCAAAGTTTCCTACCAGGGTGGCCCGCAGGAGTAAAGCAAGAGGCACTGAGGGCAGGGTAGCAGCTCTGGCTGCCAGCTGCTCTTGCAGGGTGCTTCATTTCCTATAATACTACTGTTTTGTATAACTCAGTAACACGCCCAGGTAAAAATCGTCCCCACAATTAAACTGTGTAACAGAATGGTAACTCTGACCCCCTCTTCCAACTCAGCATTACACCCTGGTGTAGCCTGTGCCCTCCAAGCTGCAGGACATGAGCAACACTGAAGAGAAGCTGCGTGTAGATCTCAGACCGGCTTCCAGCATCTGAAGGGTGCTGAAGAGGAACTCTTCAGCAGGGACTGTATTGGTAGGGCAAGGGGTGATGGGTTCAAACTGAAAGAGGGGAAGTTCAGGTTAGATATAAGGAAGAAGTTCTTCCCTGTGAGGGTGGTGAGGCACTGGCACAGGGTGCCCAGAGAAGTGGTAAATGTGGTAAACCCCTGGCAGTGTTCAAGGCAAGGTTGGACAGAGCCTTGGGTGACATGGTCTAGTGTGAGGCATCCCTGCCCATGGCAGCGGGTTGGAACTGGATGAGCTTTCAGGTCGTTTCCAGCCCAAACCAGTCCGGGATTCCATGATTTGCAGGATGTCAAGGTCTAGTCCTATTTTTAATACATTTGTAAACTCCTTTCTTACCAAGCTGAACAGTGGAGACTTACAAAAAGCTTACTCGGTGTTTAAAGTGATAATGAGAGTCTGAAAGGAGTGGGAAGCACATGGGATCTGCTGTGTGTATCACCAGGTCTCACTGGGCTTGGAGCAAACAGGACTTGTCCATATTGGTGTCCAACCAGTATGTGGTGGGGGGCACCTCGAGCACCGGGGGTCACCAGCACCTCTTGTTGTGAAGCTTTGCTCCCTGCTGCCTGTCCTGCAGAGCCAGCTCTGTTACCTCAGCTGTGAGCTCTCACCGAGCAGAAGGAGAGGTCAGGACCAGGGACATGGCTGCAGCCTGGCTGGTGCTGGAAGCTTTAATTCCCAGAGATTTCCATCTGCATTAAATGCCCTTTAAACCCCAGAATAATGCTCAGCCCTTCTGCAGAGGTTTCTGACAGACATCCCCAGCAGATGCGGATGCTGTGATGTACAGTGATGCAATCTGCAAGGTTTGCTGAGACACCTACCAAACGCTTCTGCTGCTGGAGCAGGGGTTTCAGCAGAGTTGGTGCCTGTGCATGGCCTCATGGCTTTATGCACACTCATCCTGAGTGAAAATCAAGAATTTGCCTGTGAACTGAAGGAAGAGATTCACTTTTTTGGCTGCTTCTGCTGTTTGTGTGGCAGCTTGGTCCCACAGGCCAGGCGGATGGAGGGGTGTCATAAGCTGCTGTCTACCAGCACACCTCTTGCTGAGATCTCTTGTCAGCAGCAGTAAGTCACTCTTGCAGCTTCGCTGGTCACTGGAGGTAAGGAAATGAGCAGAAATAAGTTGTTATGGCCATTACCAACACAACATAGAAGTGACTTGAGAGTTCAGTGCTGTTTGTTTCCCTCTCTCATCCCTCTCCATTTCTTGCTGACAGGTTTTCTGGTACGTGTTGTGAATCAGATGGTATCAGCAGCTCAGATCCTGTCTCCTTTGGAGGTGCCTCCTCCCAGCTGACATGCTCTGAGTAACTCTTAGGTTTTCCAGGCTGACACAGTGTGAACACTGCAGAAGCCTCCCCGTGGCTCAGGTTTGTTTTTAACAGCGGAAACCGTAGGAGTAGATGCCAGTGGAAATTTGTGAAGTTCCTTCTTTGCCCATGAAGAAACACGAGATTCCTCCCGCTCCCAGGTTGGAATGTCCAGTGTTCTGCAGGACACTGCTTCAGGTCCCTTCTCCTGGATGTGGTGGGGAGGCAACGGGTTTGGTTTACAAGCTGCTGGAGCTGCCCCTGCTGGCAGTTTGCTAAGGGTGGATGCACCCTTCGGAGCTCCTCTGGAGTGCTGCTGATGTTTGGCTCCAGGGAAAAGTCCTGCTGGGAAGAGCAGTTGCTTTCCAGCAAGGAATTTGTGTCTGGGATGGGGGAGGAGCTGGAGGAAGCTCGTGCTGTTTCTCTCAGTTCAGCACTGACAGAGCCCTGCACAGAGGGAAAAGCGCAGCCTGAGTGAGCTACGGCCTCTTTGGATGCCGTTTGCCATCACCCTCCCGCTGCCTGCCTGGAA